TGGTTAAGTTTGTTAATATAGTTAGAAGGGTATTATTGTAATTGGGATATATGGCTATATAAGAGATGGTATAGCTATCATTTCTTTAAGTTCTTTTGTATACATTTTCTCCATTTTAATCAATACAATCTTTCTGGTTTTTCTCTCTATCATCTTCATCTTCCTTTGTACCAATTCTTCATCTTTTACAATGTAGTTAATATGGTATCATAGCCACCAAGGCTCACGCCATGAATCTTGGTGGTCGATTCCTCTTCTATTTTTTTTTTCTTCATTACTTTCTTTCGTTTCCGCGTATTTGATCGAAGAGGGAAGACTTGAGAGAATCGACGTTGGAGAGGAGAGATCGAAGGTCGTCGACGTCCTCTTCCAAAGCGTAAACAGTGTCTTTGAGGCTGAGGCGGCTCTGCTCCTCAGCTTGGTGAGTCAGAACCTCGGTCAATTGGTGATTGACAAGCTTCGTCGGCGAGGCAGCAGGAAGAGGATCTCCACCAGCCAATCGCCGAACTCCTTATTGACCTTCCGTTCGATGTGCCACCGAATATCTGGAATCTTCTTCTCCATCATCTGCTTGAGCATAGAATCGCTCCCTGCCCCTGTGATGCCATTCGATTTCGCTCAAGAACTGCAGTTTCAGATTTTGTCGTTCAGTTCATTCTGTATTTTCTGGGTAAATTTTTGTTTTGGGTTGTGATCAGAGATCATCGGTGTTATGATATCTTGGTCTTTGGAATTGTGGCAAATTTTTCTTCGTCTGAAGCTTGAATCTTGCTCCTTCGGGCCAAATTAGAAGTGGGAACTTCTTGATTCTTGAATTCGGGAAAGGAAAATTTTCTAGGGAAATGTCAGATTCCGGGAAAGGAAAAGCATCAGCTTCTAGGCAAGTGTTCGATTCCGTTGAAGGAAAGTATGATCGTTATGTTCCTGGGTTGAAAGAAAGTACGACGGCGGTGGCCTCTCTCAGGTGCCGATTCTGAATTCTGCAAGTATAAGATGGGTCCAGACCAACACTCTAGTTCGATTTAGCGAAATGAATTCTACATCGGTGCTTATAAAGATGGTTCTATTTGGAGGACCAACAAGTTTATGGATATTTGCATAGGGCTGATGGTTGCGCTTGCTGATGGCGGCGACGAGCATTGCGGCTTGATAGCGTATGCTTGTTGAGAATTTTTCGAACTGTTTTTGCTTCTTGTGATATTTTAGTGGAATTGGCTGTGAAACAATTTGGGTATTGCAAATTTTTTTGTGGATTGTTTGTTCAAGATTGCAACTATTGGGAGCTCTTCCGGTTCTGATTCTGTGCACTCCAACTGGTTGAAGAAATGGGTCAGTGAATTATGTGATCTCTACTCTATTCTTTGGTACAGAAGAAAGATTAGACATGGGTGCAATCCTGGTGTTTGTCGAATTACCCAACTCAAAAGTTTCATGTGAAGGTTATATTTGGTTTCTTGGTTAATAGTATTAGTTTTCTTGTCAATTTAAAGAAGAAAGTGTCATTCTTTCTATGAATTTTGGAGTTTCATTCTCCTAAGTTGCCGTATGATTTGGAGTTTCATTCTCCTACGTTGCAGTATGATTTGTGTTCATGGAGTGTCAGTCTCCTTATTTGGTATTTTTAGTAGAAGTTTGAGATTTGTGTTGTGCTTTGGAGTATCATTCTCCTTGGCTGATTTGGTTTGTTGGAGTGTCATTCTCCTTGGTTAATTTGGTTTTTTTTGGAGTGTCATTCTCCTTGATAGATTTTGTATGGCTTCTCAGTTCACAGTCGAAAATTTGTTGGGTGTGTTAAGGATAAAGCTGGATTGTACTTGTGGTTTTCATCATGGCTTCACCAACGGCAACAGTTGTAGTCTTGTGTGATGATAATGGGGTGCGCAGAGGTTTTTGGTCAGCAGTTACATGGGGTGAGCAGAGGTTTTTGGTCAGCAGTAACAAAGGTGTCAGTGGGTGCTTTCTTGTTTGCAGCAGGTTAATTCTTGAAGCACAGATCAGTCTCAAATACTGGCTAGTTCAAACTTCACTTGGATATTCCAAGTTTAGTTTGAGGGGGAGTAATAACTGATATAACAGAAATGCCACATGACATTATTCTAGTGGTTAAGTTTGTTAATATAGTTAGAAGGGTATTATTGTAATTGGGATATATGGCTATATAAGAGATGGTATAGCTATCATTTCTTTAAGTTCTTTTGTATACATTTTCTCCATTTTAATCAATACAATCTTTCTGGTTTTTCTCTCTATCATCTTCATCTTCCTTTGTACCAATTCTTCATCTTTTACAATGTAGTTAATACCAGAAGCAAAACAAAGAAACGATTTGGGGTCGTTAGGTTGAAGAAAATTAAGTTATAGCTAAAGTTGTGTTTATTATTTATATACTTTATTTTATTATTTCATAAGAATATAAAAATTTCATTGAGAAGTAGATCATGCATAAGTACACAGGAAGTTGGAGACGAGCCTTCCTCCAACAACACTATAAACTCCTCGAAAGGAATTGCCATATTTGGCTAAGATCACAAAATGTAAAGCTTTATGGATCGCGGTCCATGCACTTAGGTCTAGTTCGGGTATTTGATCGAACCAGGCAGGCTATTTGTAAATGGCTGGAATTCACACTCGAGTCTGGTTCGAGACGTTTGATGGTTAGATTTGATCAAAAGATGTAATTTGTGAAACAAAAGTGAGTAATTGCTTCATGATACTGGGGAGAGAGGTGTTTGTCATTTAAGCTTCTTTGCCAATCCTCTATTGGTAGAAAAAATTCAGTACAGGCATTTGGACCACATGGCCATCTTCCTGCAAACACAAATATCACACTAAACTAAGGCAGTTGTACCGCAATTTCTCTCCATCCGAGAAGTGGTTAAGTTCATCGGCTAGCTGTCAACTTAGTTTATCCTTGAGACCAACTTTTCAAACCATGGGACCCAAAGTCTTACAAAAAAAATAATAAATGGTAAAGGAAAAAAACCCTTGAAAGAGAGTTAATATTCTTCTTCCAACTCCTGTGCATAAATGATGTACAATTTCACTTGATTTTCTAGTAACTTATTATTTAAGTGACTTGATATTCAACTAATCTTGCAACCTCAATATAGCTAGAATAATAGGGTCTTAAGTCTGATTGACCAATTACGTAATCACTGTTTAGTAAGACTTATTATGGTGGGACATGAAATATATAATTGTGGTTATGAGTATTTCTCATGTGATAATAGGGTTGATTGAGTGATATCCTAGCAACTATATAGTTTGGAGAGAGTAGAAGACATTCTTATACATGCGCCGATTCCTCTCTACATATAAGTTAATTGTAATTCGTTTATTGAATTATTGGTTTATTAAATCTGTGATCCTAATGTCTTAGTTATTGTGATTTCAGAATATATCTTACACAATCTTCAATTAACACACAATATTTGTTTTAATTATTTTTAAGGCATGGACATTATGGATTCAAGATAAATAGCTTGAACTGATCGATAAGACGCTTTCAGATTCGTGCAAACAAATCTGAAGCTGTAAGGTGTCTGCATGTGGGGCTGTTATGTGTGCAAAGAGTACCTGAACGAAGTGTCCCAAATCACAATCAAGGATACAATTAACAAGAAAATGTTTGAATTGTGAATAATGTAAGATAAAATATATAATGGAGAAGGAAAGTAGTTCATGCTTAAACAACATGTATAGGAGGTTGGAGAAGCAAGACGAACATTTATCCAACAGCAATGAAATATGGAGGTTCACCAAACCTGTCACTTTGTAACCCAAAGCATGCAAGCCGGTGAGCAACTTCGTTGGCTTTTGGCAACAGATATGGATAAAATCTTCTCCAGTGATCCCAAATGACGTCGAGGTAAGACAAATAAGAACCCATTGATGCGTCCATAGAAAGATGAATAAGAACCCAAATGACGTAGAGCTAAGACGATCTAAAAGTAAAAGAGTAACACAAACACTGCTAAATTTTTACACTTCAACTGTTTGAGTAATTGATGAACTTAAATTTTATACTTAATCTAAATAAAAAAGTTGACAAAACTAATAAAGTTCTTAAATTGTTATAATTATTAAAATATGACCGAAGTGGAACATATCAACCTGAACGAGATATTTTTCTTGTACCTGAAACATCGACATTGAAAAATATACCTTAAATGGAACATATCAAATTTATTGTCCACTTGTTTATAATATGTGTTGTACCATGGTTGTGTGGGAAAATGCATCTTAATTTATCATGGTTGTGGGAAAATGCCTCTCGTATTTTATTTTGACCTAATTTTCACAAGTTGAGTACCGTTATGTGTATCCTCTGTTTGTTTTGTTTAGGTATACAATTTGTAGGTGTGGAATTTGGACTGATATATGCTGGCTTTGTTTTTGGGGTTGCCTCAGTTCATAATTATGGTTGCTAGTTGCCTTAATTCATGGTACCTCGGTGTACTATTAACCTCTAATGCTTTTCTTGGTTACTTGCTGCCTCAATACATTGTTGCCTTTGTTTTTTTTCGCAATTTTCCCCAATTTGTTGCTCAGTTATCCTGATACCGGGATTTAGGGTTATCTCAGTATATTGTTGCTACAGTTTATGGTTTTCTTGGGTTATCTTGATACATTGAGTCATTGTTGCCTTGGTATATTTTTGTGGAAGTCAATAGTTGCCTCAAGTATTTTGATGCCTCATCCATGGTTGCCTCGGTTGTATAGATGCCTCAAATAGTGCTTGTCTCTGTTTATTGTTGGTTTCAGTTATGGTTTCCTCAGTTGTATTGATGCCTCGATTTATTGTTGATTTCTATTATAGTTGCCTCAGTGCTTCGATTAGTGTAACACTTGGATATATATATATATAAATTATAGGAGTAAGATTATTTTAGTTAAAAAAAAAAAACAAAGAAACAAATAAGGATGAGCTAACGTGTAGCCATCCCCCATTTTTCTTCTTCTTCCCAACCATCACACGGTGGGTGAGCCAAGGAATCAGATTCTGTCCATAAATGTTTGGGGTGATGTGGGTAGTCTAGGGGGTGTGAGTAAGCATTCTAAATCAGGAGAGGCAATGATAGGCTTAGAGGGAGTATTTCCAACTCTCACTGAAGAATTAGAGGAGAGTGAGAGGTTTTGGAAAGGGAAAAGTAGGAAATCGGAAGAGGGAAGCTGAGAGGGTGCTGGTGTGTTCTTCAATTGGTACAAAAGGTTAGCTTAAATTTGTTAAATTTCTATTTTCTTACCTCTGCAACCTTGATTTCTAGAAAACAGCAGTTTCGTGAACCTCACTTTGGCTCTTGTTTCTTCTCAATCCATTTCATCTTCTTAAAGAGTCTTCTTATATATTTGAAATTAGATATGACAAGGATCAAAGCCCAATTTATTTCATCGTTTTTGGTTGAGATCTTCTATGGAAAAATATGATTTGAAAATGTGAAAAAAATCTGGAAATCTTCAGATTTTCTGCAGAAAAACTGGTTGTGAACTCAACTTTGGAACTTGATTATTTTCTTCTCTTAAATCCATTTCGAGAAACTCTTGTAGATTAGAAACTAGGTTTGTTAAGCTTTAAAATCCAAGTAATTTCATCCTTTTACATGGATTTTTGAGGGATGAAAATAGGGTCACAATATGGGGACTTAAGCTTGGTTTTTCACGGGGTTGTGATGGGTATATTTGGGTAAATCTTTTGTTAGGCTGAAATAGAATTTTCATTCCAGTTTTATGCTAACTTTTACTATTATTTATGTGATGTTAGGCCTGGGAGTGACTACGGACACTTCAGAGGCTTAGAGAGGTATTATAGTTAGCTGGACAAGAGGTAGGGGCTCTATTTCCCGATGATAGATCTATATCATGGTTAATCTTTGTGATATTAGTAATTATATCTAATACAGTAGTAATGAAATGCTTGGGTGAAATTGAATCAATTGATTGTCTTGGTTGTTAGGGTTGATGGTTTCTTTTTCGGTGTATTATATATATTGACTATGTTAAATGTTGTTATGTTTTGATGAATGGTTGAGTTATATAAAATTGTTGGACTGACTATGTTGAGGTTTACAATTGTGTTTGTTAAATTGAAATGCTCAGGTTGCATTATATGTTATAGAGTTAAGTGTTGGGTTGTGTAAACTTGGTTAAGCAAATTGTTGAAAACTTGTATATGTTCAAGCGTAGGGTGAAGGGCTTGAACGTATAGTTGGGCGTCGGGAGAAAGGCCCATGTTAATGAAACTGAAACTACTAATAAAATTCGGGGTTAAGGGAGGAATGGGAGTTAATTTATATTTTATGGTATTCGGAACCAAGTGGTATAAGCATGGTATGGGACGTGCAGGTTTGGATGCCATAAATATAAGTTAGCGGGATTAGAAGGGAGTGAGTTCATGTGTACTTCTTTGTCATATCATTTGTATTTTACCGGATTATTTGATGCGTGGTACTTTGATTAACTATGATAAATGAGCTTGAAGGACATATGGTTCCTACTGGGCATGAAATGCTCACACCCTAATAGGGTGACCTATTAGCTATTGCAGGTACCATTATGGAAGAACATGAGGATGACCTGTCTCTAAATGAATAGTCATATCATATGTGTGCTGGTTTCCTAGTTGTGCTTAAAATAAAGCGTCCTAGTATCTGAAGAGTGTGTTGTAAGAGTTGATGTTATACCCACCCTTAATTTAGATTGTATTTTCACTAAGTTTGATTTTATCTTGTTTTTAAGATTGTTTTTGGGTCTTAATAGGTGTGCCAAGGGGCCCACCTTTGTTTGTTGTCCCCCCGAGTCCAAGCCCTTCATCTCTCTCTCTCGGTCTCTCTTTCCCTCCCTCACTCTCTCTTCCTTTTTCCTCTTTTTCCCTCGAGGCTCTCTCTCTCTATTCTCTCCTCTTCCCGTCGAATACGCACACACACTCAGTCACCAACCACAACCCGTACCACCTGAGCGTGGTGACGTTGAAATCAGGACCTGAAGGAGTGATACTCCAACAGTGGCAGTGCCACTGTGCATCTTCGTCCCTAAACAAACTCCGGCGAGTTTGATATGGGTAAGCTCCGATAACACTCTAAACCTCCCCTTTTTTATCCTCATAATTCATTTCTGATTGTATCTATGTGTTTTGGTCGTCGAAACTAGGAAGAAACACATCGGGGAGACTTCCCCGGATTCCTGGGAGGAATCCGTCACTTTCGAGGCACTTTTTGGCCAAACCATGGTGAGTTGGCCGGCGTAAAAGGTATCAATCTCTTCGTCACTGAGTACTACAACTTTCCTTTTTGTTTCACCCAATTTCGTTGAGTATTGAAGACGTTATATCCATTTGAATCTTACCCAATTTCCGGCGACCTCAGTGGTTTCGAGGAGTTTTCTGGCCAAACAACGGTGAGTTAGACGTCATGTGAGGTACCATTCTCTTCCTCTCTTTGAGAACTACAACTTTTGTTTTTGAATCACTCAATTTCGTTGAGTTTTGATAAAGTTATGGTCGTTTAAAGTTGGTGTGGATTTCTGGCCGAATTTTGGCCTTCTTCATCCTTGGGTCCGGTGACCCACCAAACCCAGGCCCTTTGGGCCTTTCTTGCCGAGCCCAACCCAAAACCCATTTCAGTTTTATTATTTATTTTATTAATTGTTTTAAGTTAAAGGCCTTGGGGCCAAATTAGCTAAGGCCCTAAACCTTTTTATCTAGAAACCCAAAACCTTTAGGCCTAAGGCCTTCGGGCCTTTTGAACCAGGGCCCTAAGCCCTCTCCTCTAAACCTAGCCCACCTAATTAGCTAAACCCAAACCTTTTATGTGGAATATTCTAAGGATATTTTGTTGACATTTCACGAAATTTATCCAAGACCCTTCTTAGGGTAATTCGACGTTCTAAATCCGTTTCCAATGTCCGTTTTCCCAAATTCAATTTCTATTATAAAGTTTTATTAATTTGGCCCTTTATGTGCTTAGGGGCAATTATAGTGGCATTTCTGTCTTCGCTAGTTGCGTGGCTCTTCGGCGGCGAAGTACTGTGAGTGGACCCCTTCTAAAAATGCATGTTTTAATTATAGAAATGCATACATGAAAAGCATGATTTGATGATTACGTTTTATGAAACGTTTTGTGAGATAACATGTTTATTGAAGTTATTTGAATTATTACTATTTTTCCTATAACCCATGTTCTTATAGAATATCCGATGGATGACGATATGATATTTAGAACATGTTTCGAACACCTCTTTATGGTATAGATGATGGATGACTTTATACTATGAAGTTGGTTTTCAATATATATATGTTCAATGGTTTTGTATTTACCTAGTGGTCCTTTCCGCTACAGGACGAAGGGATAGATTCAGGTCCGTCCTGAGTGACGGTTTGGTGTTGGCATATGGCATGGAGTGTGTTTGCTCTGGCTATTTAGCACAGGGACGGGGAGCCAGCATGGGGCCTGAAGTGTATTTTCCTCTGACTGTCTGCTCAGAGACGGGGAGCCGGCATGGAGCCTGAGAGTTATCGGACAATTCACTAGTGATTATTATATATACAAGTTATGGTTTGAGACTTTCACGGCATGCTAGGTTTCGGAAAACTTATGTCTATCATGATATATATGTGTTTTATAAAACCTAGGGGTTAGTATGTTGATAACTGTTTTATTTTATATATATATATATATATATATATATATATCAACTTGGTCCACTCATGTTTGTTTTGCGCCCCCTTCAGGATTTAGAATCGAGGTATACAATCCCGACGTCCAGGCATTTCCGCATCGGCATCTTCGAGTCCTCTCGGTGTAGGATCCATCCTTTGTTTCATTCAATTTTATATTATTTCTTTTAGTGTTATAGTTAGTTGTATGCTCTGAACATGTTCCTTAAAGGCACATTATTCATTCTCTTATATTTACAAGTCTAAGTGAACCTTTAGATGGTTTTGGTTCTATCATACTTTCGTTGTAATATTTTAAATTTTTTTTTTAATTCTATTCACGTCCTAATTCGATTATCATTCTTATTTTCGAATTTGGGGTGTGACAAGTAGTGATTGCCTCAGTTTATTGTTGGTTTTGGTTATGGTTGCCTCAGTTTTTTGTTGGTTTCAGTTATGGTTGGCTGGTTGTATCGATGCCTCGATTAGTGGTTGCCTTGTTTTATTATTTGTTTCGGTTATGGTTGCCTTGGTTGTATCGATGCCTTGATTAGTGGTTGCATTGGTTTATTGTTGGTTTCGGTTATGGTTGTCTCGGTTGTATTGATGCCTCGATTAGTGGTTGTTTTGGTTTATTGTTGGCTTCAGTTATGATTGCCTCAGTTGTATTGATGCCTCGATTAGTTGTTGCCTCTGGTGAGAATGAATCTCACATTGATAGGGGGAGAAACTTTGCAAAGACTTATAAGAGGTTGGGTTACTCCTTATAATGCCAATTTGTTTTATGGTAGAACCTCAACTTCTTCATGGTATCAGAGCAGGTTGTCACATGTGTGAAGTCAAATGCCCACACTCGCACATGCGCTCCACGTCACCCTGTTGTATTGTCCATGTGTTAGGTTTGAAAATTCACCACACATGAGGGGGCATGTTGTAAATGAATCTCACATTGATGGGAGAAGACACCTTGTAAAGGTTTCTAAAAGGTTGGGCTACTCCCTATATTACCAATTGGTTTTATGGTGGAACCTCAACTTCTTCAGCCTCGATGCATTGTTGGTTTCAATTATGGTTGACTCGGTTTATTGTTCGTTTTGGTTATTGTTGCCTCGGCTGTATTGATGCCTCATCATTATTGCTTCAGTTAATTGTTGCCTCACTTTATTCTTGAATAGTATTGTTTCATTGGTTTATTGTTGCCTCAAATTTTCAAGTGTGTTGTTACCTTGGTTCATGATTGCCTCACAGTTATCTTATGCATTGCCTCATTTTCCTTGTTGTTTGGATATCCCGACTCATACTGTCATAATCATTGGACGCATTGTTACCCATAGTCGACTTCGTATAAATTTTTGCCACTGATATTTGATGACTATTCATGGTTGTCTTGAACTCTCAGTGTGCTGGTGTATTGTCGTATTGGTTAACTGTTGGCTCAATATATAGTTCTCATCACTCAAACTTTCGACGGTTATTTGATGTTTTGATACATGTTTGTCTCGGTTTTTTTTTATTTCTTGAATAATAGTTGCCCTAAGTTTATTCCTGGTTACACTTTTACATATTAGGCCACTAACATTTCATACATATTTCAATTTGTTTTAAGGCATGGATACTATGGATTCAAGATAAACCACTAGAACTGATCGATAAGACGTTTTGTGATTCGTGCAACATATCTGAAGTGATAAGGTGTCTTCATGTGCGGCTGTTATGTGTGCAAAGAGTACCTGAGGATAGACCAAGCATGTCATCTGTGGTTCTGATGTTGAGCAGTGATGTTGCCTTGCCACCTCCAAAGCAGCATGGTTTCTACACTGAACGAAGTGTCCCTGAATCACCATCAAGGACGCTTCTATGTTCAGAGAATACTTTCAGCACTACGTTGATAGAACCTCGGTAGATCATCATTGCGGTGCTTGTTATTCCTTCAATCTACCATCACAAAATGTTTTTGGTAGGTTGACGTGAAGCTTATAGCCTTGGCTGGGAAACAATGAGACCTGCGACTGTAACTCTGCAAGAAAAATATTTATGATTACCAGTTTATCAGTTCCTAAATCAGAACAAAGAAAGGACTTGGGGTTGTTAGGTGGTTGAAGAAATTTAAGTTATAGCTATAGTTGTGTTTATTATTTTTTGATTTTATTTTATTATTTCATGATAAGATAAAATTTATTGAGAAGGAAAATAGATCCTGCACTTAGGTCTGGTTCGGGTATTTGATCAAGTCGCCGGAATTAACACTCTAAGCCTGGTTCGAGATAGGTGCTTGTCATTTAAGTTTCTTTGGCAATCCTCTATTGGTAGAAAAACTTCAGTGCAGGCATTTGGACCACGTGACCATCTTCCCGCAAACACAAACATCACACTAAAATGAGGCAGCCGTACTGAAGTTTTTCTCCACCGTCTATTTGAGCATTGTCAACGCCTGTTCGGTCTGCCCATTATTCAAGCACCCACCAATAACAACATTCCATGAAGCACCATCCAATTTAACATCTATCCTTCTCATCCTACAAATTAAAGTTACACCTTTTTTTTTTTTTTTTTTTTTTTTATCTTTTGAAGCAAGCAAAAAATGTATTAAAAGGAAAACCCCCGAGAACAACTGAAGAGCATGAAGAGCAAATGAAGGAATACGGGGTGATCCCAAATATGACAATCAGTAATAAGAAGGCCTTGGTGAGCGAAGACATCCACCACAAAGTTAGCCTCTCTAAAAATATGTTTCCAATCAATGCAAGCAAATTTGGTCGCCATCCACTTGATATCTTCAATAATAGGAACCATATTCCACAGCGTCGCACCCCGGTCCAACACTGACTGAATGACCAACTTAGAGTCTCGTTCTACCATAATCTTTGTATAGCCCTTCCTTTGAGCATAAAGAAGGCCCTCTTTGAGAGCCCTAGCCTCCACTTTAGAAATAGTGGCACCATCAATATTTAAAGTTCCACCGCCGATGAGCTGCCCAATATGATTCCTTAAGACAAATCCCGCCGCAGCCTTGTCCCCAGCCACTGAGCCATCAAAATTTAGCTTAACATATGTCACGCCCCGAACCCAACATACGTCCAGGATCGACGCGTGACGTTATCCAGCATCCGTATATCTAACAAATCCCACCTCCGATATATTTACAAGGCATAACTCAAGATCCAACTGCGTAATAATTTTTTTTTCGTAAGCTTTATGACTGCATCTAACCTCCTCGTTAGACTACCTACGTACCCTAATCAGGGATCAAACCATTCGTAGTTCATCAATCACTACCCATCTACATTTACCAATGTACATTCCAGCCGAAAGATATAACATTCCTCAATCAATCATTAGAACTTGACAAGTATGGAAGTACTAGATTCAAGGCTACATAACAATCCAATATGACAATCAAGGTTTCCATTCCACCCATCATATAAGTCACTATGTTTCAACATGAAACCTTAATCCACCACATGTAATGTATCCAAGAACCAACAAAGCACAATATTATTCTCAAGCCATTTCGAGTAACGAGACTAATCATAATAATAACAATCATATCCCACATCATTCCGCAATCGTTCTACTTAATCAATCCTAAAATCATAGATGCATGATATCTACAATTACTATGCTATTCAATCAATAAGGTCCCATATCAATTCACAAATTTTAATAAAGGATCCCTACATAATTCCCCACCTGGATTTCAAGTACTAACATGATAAGTCTAATCTATACACAATGTCTACTGTGAACAATTCATATTCACTCGACTCTAAGGTCAGACTACCTTTACGGAAATGAGCAAGAGTAGGGATTCTATACCACTCAACAAAATCCAACCAAAATACTAAGCGACCTCTTGTAATCTCTTCAGACTTGACATATGTACAATCAGTGCCTACAACATGGGAATGGTATTGGCATCAAGAATTCAGATAAGCTACAAAGATCAGGTGAGTGACAATAATACAAGGATGTGATAATAATGATAAAGCCAACCATTAATAACAGTTTACATCTCTTTAATATAAATCATTCATAAAGAATCAATACCAAGCCTTTGCAACTCCGAATGAGTCACCCAGACATCCAACGGTTCGTCTGAAACAAATCACAACAGCTCACAATCATAATCTCATACAACACAATGAAAAGTAGGGTTAGGGTGACACAGTTCAGTCGAAGTCTACATCTCCGAAGCTATCTCAATCCAAAATTTATAACCCCAAGGTGAACACGATCCTAGACCATCTCTCAACGGAATCGCGAAGTAGAAGGGGTTCCGGACCACTCAACTAAACCGAGCATAAGTCCAACAAATATAGCAATGCTCAAAGAAGAAAACATGAAACAAGTACTCAAAATACAAAAGCTCAATGAAACAAGAAATGAAATAATGATACGATATGTGAAATAAGTCTCGAAGTAACAAACCCCATGACAATGGGTTCATAGTCCACTCATAACCCTCACATTTCATCACATCAGGCCAATCATGCAAATCAAATCTCATTTCAAATATGCACATCAAATTACTTTCCATCGAACAATTCATCAAGCACTTCAAATCACATTTCATAGATATCATCCATACACAAGTCAAATCACGACTAATAAACATAGATCAATGACTAATCACATTTCAATAGATTCACATTATATAATCAAGTGATATCCACTCAAAATATAATCGCCTATCGAATGTACCAAGTACAACTAATCCTTATCACCCCCAGAATGCGTAAGGTCCCCAATCGCGGATATACCAAGCGGGATCATATATACTTTCTCTTAAAACCAATTCCCTTCTTTGAACATATTAACCTAATCTGTGCAAGTAGTATTGGCCTATTGGGAAATTAGAAATCCATGAGTGAATCATAATTCTCAAACCATTTAAATCAAGTGTATGTTATGAACAGATTATCACTTTGATTCAAAAGGAACTATAAATGGCATAGTCATTTCAACTTTTATACCAAAGCAGCCCCTTTAGCTTTTGTGTATATAATAGATAAAAGCAAGCATCTGCATAATACTAGTCTTGAAAAAAAAACGTGGCTAATATATGACATGCAATTGACTCCACCCAATTAATTATGTTATACAAATATCCCTTTCAGGTATTATACCAAAATAGGGTTTAGGCAGTTGTGTATAAAACTAGCTTTGTATCATATATCATATAAAAAACTTGCACATACAACAACTGCATATAAAACTAATTTCCCATAATAGCATCCAATAATGACCATAAAAGAAATTTAGAGTATCAGAGAATAATTACCAAAGCTTTCCACCCATTGGATAACACAAATGAAATCATGTTTATTTCATGATTCAAACCCACCTTCTGAGACCCTCTTCTTTCTTTTCTCATCCCTGCCTTCTCTGTTACCCTCTCTCCTTCCTTTCAGTTCTTGTTGTCCCGTGTCTCCACTTATACAATTGGATTTAAGCTGGGGTGGTAGAGTTGGTTTATACCATAGGGAGATGAGGTTCATAGATAGAGGAAAGCAAGATGTCATGGTGATCAATCGTGAGATGAATTTGAAAGAGGTGGTGGGAAGTGACGACCTCCTTCCCTCTCCAACCCCCTTCTAAAAAAAATGAGATACAGAGGGAGGAGAGGGTGCTCTAGAGTCTTCCCCCTTCTCTCTCTAATTTTTTTTTGCCCAATTCCACTTATAATATCCGGTCCCTTTAATCCCAATAAATGTTGGGCCTTTTAGCCATAAGTTGAAATTAAAATAATTCCCACAATTTATAGTTTCACAATTTCAAACGTCTGTAACTATACCGTTATAACTCGGACTCGCAAACGCCCTTTGCCTATGGGCTCGTGGCTTCGAGACTTATTCGAAAACATTACTTGTGACCTCAAAAGGTCAACGAATTTTAAATAATTATTTTCCAAACTTCACTCTTCGTAACTAGTTTAATTAAAATCTAAATCCAAACGATTTAAAATAAATTCTCTAGAAATAATATAAAATCTCAATAGTACAAATACGTAGATTATACCAATGAAATCCAGGAACGGGATTTCACAACATAACTTTGATCCGGAGGGTGCCATTTAATAATCCTGGAAATATCTTCAGTATTTCTATTTAAACCCTTACAATTGGCTTTAAGATATCGCTTACCCATGGACATAGCTGACCCATAGACATAGCCAGCAAAAGTTACACCCTTTTTTGGTATCTCTGTTCGAAAAATACGCAGTTAGAAGTACATTCCAGGACACGAAATCTCGTTTAGACATCATATCAAATACCAACTGAGCTTGTTTAATGCTCAGACAACTAGCATAGATATTTACAAGGGCGCTGCTAACGAAAACATTCTCTTCCATTCCATGTCTGACCACAAACCCATGAATCAGACTTCCCAAATTCAAATCTTTCAACTCCGAGCAAGCAGGTAGGATTGAAGAAACTGTTACCACATTGGGTCTCACTCCATTCAACCCCATCTCGTGAAATGCCTCCAAACCTTGTCTAGGCATCCCACAGTTAACATAACAAGAACAAAAAGAGGTCCAAGATACCACATCTTTCACAGCCATGGCATCGAAAACCAGTCTCGCCAGATCAACATATTTACATTTTCCAAACATATCGACCATTGCATTGCCCAAAGAGACATCCAAATGAAACCCAAATCCAATTGCATCATCGTGAAGCTGTTTAGCATTTCAAATATCACCAAGAGCAGCACACGCCTTAGCAACTGACAAAAGCAGAAGATTATCGGGCACAACGGGCCGAAATCTGAGCGAAGCGTAAAGATTTATGGATTCCTTGAGGAACCCATGTCGTGTGTAGCCTGATATGAGCATGGTCCACGCACGCAGGTCTTGTTCGGGAATTTGATCGAACAGGCGGCGTACACATTGCAAATCGCTGGAATCACAGTAGATTTTCAAGAAGCTAAGGCTCAGGCTCAGGTGAGGCGGGACGTTGGTGTGTAGTTTTGAAAGCATGTCGTCTATATATATAAAGGGAGAGGGCCAGTTTCGTGAAACATTTGAAAATACCAAGAAAGCCCCTTTGTTTTCTTCATAATCCAAATTCAGAAAAATCGTAAAATGAGGACAAATTGATAAAAACACCATAACTGAACAGAAAACAAATAAATAAAAAAAAATCTATAACAGATGTGCTTAACCATTAACCCTCACAAACT